GCTGGTGAGGCATGAAATTGACGGCTGCAACCTCGGCCACTTCGCCTGCAAGCGTGTGCCGGTCGGAGACGACCACGCCTGGCTGGAGAAGGTGCTCGTCGAGGTGGAGCTGCTCGCGAACCTGGCGCACCCCAATTTGGTTTCATACCGCCATGTCTGGCTGGAGAACGTGCAGCTCACCCGGTTCGGCCCCAGCGTGGCATGCGCCTTCATCCTTCAGCAGTACTGCAACGGGGGCGATCTGCTGCAGTATGTCATTGGAAACATCCCGAAGGAAGCCACAAAGGAGGAACTCAAGGCGCAAATGCGGCGCAGATCCAGGGGCCAGGCCGAGCGGCCCCAGGTCCAAAAGCGTCTGCCCCCAGAAGAGATTTACTCACTCTTCAAAGATGTAACATCCGGCTTGGCCTACCTACATGCTGCGAACTACATCCATCGAGACCTGAAGCCTAGCAACTGCCTCTTGCACCGCGACGGCAACCAGTTGAAGTGTTTGATCAGCGACTTTGGCGAAGTCCAACCCGAGAATGCCGTTCGGAAGTCGACCGGATCGACAGGTACCATTTCGTACTGCGCGCCAGAAGTTCTGACGCGAGACGCCAGTGGCCGGTTCGGCAACTTCACCACCAAGTCAGACATTTTCTCCCTCGGCATGATCCTGTACTTTATGTGTTTTGGCCGCTTGCCCTATGTTAATGCCAACTCGGTCCATGAAGAGCTAGAGGACATCGACCTGCTGCGTGCCGAGATTTCTCACTGGAAAGGATTCCAGGACGAAAGGAGAGAGCGGCCAGATCTCCCACCAAAGCTCTACCAGCTTCTGAAGAAGCTGCTCTCCGTCAACCCCGCGGAACGACCTGCTGCCAGCGAAGTCCTGGGTGCCATGGGCGCCGATTCCACCTTGGACAGCATGATGAGGAGCTCGACGAGAAACACCAGTCCGCTCCTCGGCCTCTCAGGGCAGCGTATCCAGAACTTGGACTCGCCCTTACCACCGAGCACGCCCATTCCAGGTTTGTCCCCTCCGCTCTCAGACAACCCATTTCATCAAACTCACCCCAACACCCTCACAGACCCCACGAAACACGCCCGCGTAAACAGCACGACGGACGAAGACCTGCTCCCCAACCCCTTCAGCCGCCCCGCCCCCGACTCCCACGCGCCGCCACCGCAGCCAACAACCACCAGCAGCGCCCTCCTCACAAAACGCCTCACCACCCCGCCCACGGCCCCCCACCACCTCCACCGCCCAACCTCCCACGCCATGACCCTCTCCCGCTCCAACCGCAGCAGCCGCAGCAACCACAGCCCAATCCGCTCCTCCTCCCACTCCCCGCACCGCGCCAGCCCCAACAACAACAACAGCAACACCCTCAACTCCGCCTCCACCCCGGGCGCGACGGCCACCATCACTACCCCCCTGCTCATGCCGCCGCCCACGACGGGCCTAGAGCGCGTCCGACAGGGCGCGGCGCTGGCGCGATACCGCGCGCCGCGCTGGGTGGAGGGGAACGCCGCGCTGCTGCGGCTGGCGCTTTTCGCGGGCAAGATGCTCTCGCTGTCGTGGGTGTGCTGGCCGTACAGCGCCGGGTGGGGGGTCGTGGCGGTCGTGGTGGGGCTGGCGGTCGGGGATCTGGGGCTGCTTTGGGAGGGTCAGGAACAAGGGAGGAGGAGGGGGAGTGGGGGGTTAGTTGTCGGGAGGCGTTGGGAGGGGAGTGGTAGGGGGAGTGTGGCGGGTTGGGGGTAGGGGAGGGGGAAAGGGATGGGGAGGGGGATAGTGGGCCGCTGGGAGCGGCGTGGTCGTGGTTTGGAGGGTGGAGGGGAGTTTGGTGTGTTGCTGGTGCTGCATTGTGTTGCTGGGGGTTACGGCGCGCGTCGGGGTGTTGTGTGCGGGCGGGGCGGCGAGGAGGGGGTGGGGGGAGTGGTGAGGGTCCTGTCCCGCGGAGAGACTTCGATGTCTTGGGGAACACCACGGAGTCCGTCGGGCCATGCGACTGACGAGCATACATTGACGCTGTGCCGCCCAAGGACTCAGCGTGCCTGGAGGCCATCGTCAAGTTGATCCAGATCATGCGACAGACAACCATCCATCACCATTGGAAGGAACTAGGACCAAACCGTGTCGGCGACCTCGCTAAGCAGGCGAGGTGTGAGCGATTCATGCTCTCGCTATCTTACTGCCAGTCATAATGGTGGAGGGAGAAGGAGCATCGTTACATTGCTCGCCAACAAGATCGGACTTTTTACGACTACGAGCTGGTGATGGAAACCCACTGGTTGCTGAGGCCTCCTATGGTACTTCGGCCAGTTCTTGGTCCCATGGCGGATCTTTGAAGAGGGTATCACGGGCTCCGGACTCATTATGCTCGACCATCTGTATCTGATCCCTTCTCAATCCTGGTCCTGCAGAGCGGCTCCCCCTCGGCATCCTAACTTCCGGGCTGTGGAGCCGCCGGTTACGGGTTGTCGCGTCGGAAAGCAGGGACAAGGGCCCCGGAAAGGAGGCGATGCGCGATGGCAGCGGCACGAGTCTCGCGGACCAAGTCGGCGTCTCAGGTTTACACCAAGGGGCTGGGACTGGTATTGCATTGATACCATGATGAACTGCTTGGCGGCGTCTGGCAGCAAACGAATCAGAAACATGGCCGAGATTCAGGTGCGGTCTAGGGATATTGGACTGGAGGAGCAAGGGCGCATCACTTGACCCATCTTCTCGTTTGGGGCCTTCTCCGTGTGGAGTCTGGAGCTTCCTCTCAGGATTGGGCATTCTTATCTCAACGACCCCGCGAATCGGTATGGAGGGCGATGACGAGATTCGCCGTCCGGAGGAGCTCCGCCAGCCGTACGCTGACGGGTCGGTTGCGGTTGATCTCAACTCAGCAATCCGAGCCGGATGGGTAGGCAAAAAATCCTGACTGGATGGGAACTAGTGGCCCGTGTGGGTTTTATGGGATTATGATATTCACGATATTCCACGCTGCTGACCCCACACAAACCCCTCCTTTCAGAGTGGAGGTGACGAGATCCAAGGCCGAGGATAGGTGGACGGAGGCGGAGGGCTGTCTTAAGTTTGGGACTATCAGCCTCTTTAATCCGTCCCTCATCCCTGTTTTCCGCGCGGCGGATTACCAAGCGTTTCTTGCGGCTATAAGAGAGCCCCGTTATGGTAACCCACCAGTTCCAGGCTTGACATGGTACTGAGTGTTTGGATGGGCGTATTGAGATTCCAGATTGCCGCAAGCGGGGGGGGGGCCCAGGGGGCGTGCCTTGCCTCATGTGCTGGACCCCCACAGTCCCAAACACAGCGTTTGAAGGACCCCCTACCGGTACCCTCAACTTGAAGGGAACGATGGCGCACGGCCGGTTGGCCTCTATACCCGACACATGCGAGCAGCACAGAGTTCTTGGGGCAATGCAAAGCTTGAATGCCCGCTTCTGCGGACTGGCTCAGCAGCCAGGCCTTGGCTCCGTCACATGTCAGTGGCGCATTGGTCGACCCGCGCGGTCAGAATCTCTCCTGTTCCTGCGCGCCTATAGACCGTCAATCATTGTGGATGAGGAGAAGCGTGCTGATATTACCTCGCTTGCTATTCTGCCAAACTTTGCAGAGTCATCAAGGTGTTTGTCTCCGAGGTACAAAATGGTGCTCTCCCCAGCTGGTTCCAGCATTTGTGCTTGTTGCTTGTCTCATCAGGAAGCGAGTACAATCACCGGAGCAAACGCCTCGGACACAGCATTGACTATACCGCTGGCGCGAGATCAACGTGAAGACACAAACCCGCTTCAGCCATCACTGTCACACACTGATACTCTCCATTACTCACTCCTGTCTGGACTCCGTCTCTCAAACCCCCCTGGCTGTTTTTCGAGCGAGAACTCTCACATCGGAGACTAAGATTCAAGTCTTCTCATCGACTGAGAACACTTTTTGCAGAGTCAACCTCGGAAACTTTGAAAACAAACGCTGTGATCTCGTGAGACAACAAGCGGCACAATTTTGAACCAACTCTTGACGCCCGTAATCAAACGTTCATTCGGGCCGTTTTTGCCTCGATCACAACGCCAACTGTGCCTCAGCCGGCCGCATATTGGGTCAAACACGCGTCCTTTTGTTTCTCTCAACAGCACTCCCATCGACAACTTTGGCACCATCAACAATCTGAACCCATCCGGAAGGGCTCAACAACGGCTTTCTCAGTGTTCGAAGACGACCGAACTAGCCAAGAGCAATCCAGATCCTTGAACCCCGAACAATTTCAGCGGTGGTCAAAATGTGCCACCGCCGGATCTTCATCCACCATCGATGTGGCCACGAGGTCACGTCAGCCATTGAAGGTTGCGGTGAGCATTCCCCTTCCGCGCAAGCGCTCATTTTCTTGGCTTCATCAACTTGCTATTTTGTTTATTGAGACCCGTCGATGCCAACGCTGATGCCCTCTCTGCGTTATAGACAATGTCGAATGCCGGCTCACCAAGAACAAGCCAACCATTTCAAACAAGTATCCTTGCGTGTTCCCGACATGCCCGTACTACGGGATGTTTGACTAGGGCAGTCTCGTTCGCAGCATTATTGTAGGTTGGCCGCCGTGATACCGTGGCATGTCTGCTGCCTGCTAACGCGAGTGCGCCTCAGTCCGCCCGCATCTCACGTTGGGGAGTTTCTTATGTCATTGGCGTGAGAATCGGCAATACTGGAACAAGCGGGTTGGTTTGGAGGGACCCATCTTTGTATTTTGAACTAATGATGAGATGATTTCACTTACACTGGCCGGAGACGGCGACACAATATCTATCGGTCCTTTGCATACCTCGCGATGGCTGATTGCGCTTGGTCTTTTCCACGTTTCCAGCGGTCAAGATCCCTCGACGGCCGCTGCCGGACCTGCGGTTTGGGGAGGGAAAAATGGAAGGAGAAAAAAGGGGGTTGCAGAGAGCATGCCAGGGGTTGCCAGGTGTCTTGGACTTAGGGGTACGGAATTTCCACTAATCCATGTAAATCAGTCACTTTGGCGGAGTGGTTAACGCGCTGCCCTGCTAATTAACAGTTAGCACGCTAGGCAGTTCCCTCGGGAGCGTAGGTTCGAATCCTACAGGTGACGATTGCTTTTGACTGGCATCAAGTTGAATTTTTGGTCATTGGCAACGAGGTGGCGTTTGTTTGGTAAGGCTACCAGGTAATGCAAACTGTTCTCCGCCAGCTGGGCTCTGTGAACGCCCGATGAGGCGCAGTGACGGCGGCTAGGGCTGAGCTGTGCCAGCATCTGCACCTCCGCCCCTCCCCCTCTCGACCCGGTCCTCAAGACAAGTACTCGTTAGAGCAAAGGTTCGTCCGTGAAACCACCATCCTTAGCTTGCTCAGGTACCGACAAACGCGGGCGGCACGCCACACATGCAATCATGCGACTACTCAGCTCGCGCACGCTTACTTTCCACGAGTTTGTCGAGGATTCCTCGCGGCCCAGATATGCCATCTTGTCACACCGGTGGGAGGACGACGAGGTCGGGTACAAGCACATGAGGAAACCTGAACGCAGAGGGCTGGCCGAGGCGAAGAAGGGGTTCGCCAAGATATCGGCTTGCGCGAAGCAAGCGTTGGCCCATGGACTCGAGTACTTCTGGGTCGACACCTGCTGCATCGACAAGTCGAGCAGCGCCGAGCTGTCCGAGGCTATCAACTCCATGTTTCGCTGGTATCGCGACGCCGCCCATTGCTACGTCTATCTTTGCGATACGCCACCGGCACCCGAGCGCTATTTCGCAGCGTATCCGGGATGGGAGGCTGAGTTCACGCAGTCCGTTGGTTTCTCGCGGGGCTGGACGCTGCAGGAGATGATCGCCCCGCAAACTCTGACCTTCTACGCTCGCGACTGGACATGGGGCGGCGACAAGAGGGACGTCAGTTTGTTGAAAGCCATCGAGGGTAAGACGGGTGTGCCGGGCCATGTGCTCTATACCGGTGACGTATCGAGCACCTCGCTGGCGCAACGAATGAGCTGGATCGCACACCGACAAACGACCAGAACCGAAGACATGGCCTACTGCCTCCTGGGAATATTCGACATCAATATGCCCTTGTTGTACGGCGAAGGCGACCGTGCGTTTCTGCGGCTGCAGCAGGAGATCCTCAAGGCCTCTGACGACATGTCCATTTTCTGCTGGACCGACCCCGATGCTTCGTTTGCCACATATAGTGGTCTCCTGGCGAGGTCACCTCTGCATTTCGCAGCGTGCCAGGACATTCGGTGGAACCCCGTGGGTGGAAACCCGCCGTTTGACCCCACGAACAAGGGCATCAGGATAACTCTAGAGTTGAAGCCCGTCTCTGGGCGGAAGGATGAGAGCATAGCCGTGCTGAGAGGTGTCCAGGGTCCAAGGGAGTCCGGGACGATTGGGCTGTACTTGCACAAGATCGGGGTCGACCAATACGCTCGTGTCGACCCGCACCTTGTCTGCCAAGGGCTGGAGCCTACCCCGATGAGGATGACGACCTTCTTTGTGCGCCAGAACCCCGTCATGGAAACCGGTAACTACTTGCATTCCAGAACCGGCAGTCTCTTCATGAAGGTCGGCCCCGGGCCTCTGCGGCTGGTTGGAGGATACCCTGCTGAGTGCTGGGATGACGAGGCATCTCGCTTTTGTTTCGACCGGTCAGCGATGGCGGAAACAACAGGCCATCCGCTCAACACCAAAGCTGAGTTCCACATACGCATGGGGAAGGACAGAACTATCTTGATCACTGTCGATGTAAGAGACGTTTGGTCCAGGTGCCTCAAAGTCGACTGGGGTTGGCAGGTTCTATCTACAATCCCTCACTTGGACGAGCTCTCGCTTGTGCGCCGATATTCTTGCTCGACATCAGAGCCCTTCGAGCCGGTCGTGGAGGTGGTCCTCCAACGGGGCCTCGTCGACCGAGAGTCAAGAACGTCACTCACCATCAGACTTGTTTACCTTAGGTAGAAAGGCGAACGCTCTGCTTACCTATGCTTTTGCGTTCATGTTTTTCCAGCTAAACTTAGCCAGTTCGCTCAGGACTCAATGTCCGTCAACGAGTGGAATGCAGAATCTTGAGACCATAAGACGGGGATAAGTTTGAACAGCCAGAAGGCCTCGACACAAAGCAGAGAGTGACGGGTTTCGTGACTGAATCGGACAGGGGGTGGTCACCTTGGTCCCCCGTCGACAGGGCTACGTTTGGAGAGTGAGAAGATTTCATTTACAAGTCCTTGGTCAATGTTGAATAGCATGCCATCAGCGACGAACTCGCGAATTATCTCTAACCAGATCAGCTTGGATCAAATTGAAGGTCGCCGAGCGGGAAGGTGGTTTTCGACTGATCATCTGCTCTATTTAGCCTTCCTCCCTCACTTTCCCTGCGCCGGATTGCCCCGATATCGTCACTTAGTGTTGACATCTCGAGAGTGGCATATTCCCAGGAACTTGATTCATTCTTGCGCGGTTGGCTTCAGCCAGGCTCCGGTCCCTTCAAGCACCCTGGGTGAGCCATAGGGCGAGCGGAAATCAATCCAGGAGAGGCCTGTGGCGTTGCACGAGCGCATCAACAGCCAATGGGCAGACTGTTTCGCATCACCGCTGAGGCAGCCACCCCCGGCGCGTCGACTCTCAAGCACTTTCTGAATGGGTTGCCTGACGCGAGTTGCCACACACCAGCCCAAGCCCAAATGAGGGGTATCGAGGGGCGAAGCGCGCCAGAGCCGCGTCGCAGTGGTAGAATAGGAGGTTGACACCACTGGAATCCCAAGACGCATGTGAGCAAATGTCCTGGGAGCAGACGGGAGGAGCGGCCTCTGCGGACCGGAGCAGCCACATTAGTATGATTCTACGACGGAACTGGTTCTGGGATTCCTTTCATCTTTTCCGTTCTCTGGCGAAGACAGCGAGACGCCGCAAGGCTCTGATCCCCTCTCCCCGCCCCCCCTCCATGAGCCCATCCCCGGAAGAGACATTCTGAAAACATACTAGCGTTGCCACATGGTTATCACACTCGGACTTATCACACCAAGAGTGTCATGCAAGCCCTCGGGGCTTCGACGCCCCAGCCGCATTTCCTCTTCCAGACGATCAACTGTGCTGGTTGCATGGCGTGATTGGCCCGGTCAAGCCCATTGTCGGTGCGAGAGGCAGAAATGAGGGCCAAGAAAAAGAGGCGCCTCCCCGCCTCTTCAAAGATCTGGGATCTCTTCGCCAACCCTCATCGCCAAAGTTGACATTGACCGTGACATATATTAACTCGGGGTATCCTTTCAGGCCTCTTTTTCCCGTCGTGGGTTGGCAAACACGCCGCTTCAGGATGCTGCTCCGTTCTTGGTCATGGGTGGTGATCGCCGCCCTTTTAGGGGTGACTTGTCAGGCCAGCCAAAAACCCATTGGAAACGACAGAGCCGAAGAGAATCCGCTGCTGGTGGCGTGGGTGTTCCAACCAGCTTATACCTGTCAGAGAGTTGACAATGACTAACTACTTTGCAGAGTGATGGGCCCTACAGGCGCCGGGAAGAGCTCGGTGATTATGTTTCCCTCACCTTGTTGCTGAAGTGCAAGAGGGGTGTTGGGCTGCTGACGGTCGGTAACTTCAGTTCATCAATACCGTTCTGGGGACGAATCGGTTCAAAGTCGGAGAGGGACTCGGTTCCGAGACGAAGTCGGTGCAAGATGAACTGCTCCAGATTGACGGCCGTCTGGTCCGCCTGGTTGACACCCCTGGATTTGACGATACAAATCTCACCGACACCCAGGTGCTCGAGATGATTGTGACTTGGATGAGCGTCCAATACAAGCAAAAGACCAAGTTCGCCGTGATTCTCTACCTTCGCGACATCACCGAGTTTAGGATGAAGGGATCCGACGTGACGAACGTCCGCATGTTCCGCGCGCTGTGCGGGACCAAGGGTCTCGAGAACGTTGTCGTTGTGACGACCAAGTGGAATCTGATGGCCGACAAGATGGGAGTGGCCCGCGGGCGGGAGGAGGAGCTGCAGTCCGACTACCTCAAGCTGATGCTCAGCTCTGGTGCCGAGTATGCCCGCCATGACGGAACGTCGAACTCGTCGCGCGCGATTCTCCGCAAGATACTGCGCAAGAACAAGGCCTTCTATCTTGACTTCCAGCGAGAGATTGTTGACGAGGGCAAACGGCTCAGCGAGATCGAGGCTGGGAGGGTCCTTCAGGAGCAGCTCTTGGAGCTGGAGGAAAAGCACACGGCCAATCTACAGGCGCTGAGCGACGAGCTCGCGCAGGCGCATAGCGAAAAGATGCGAGAGGCCCTCGAGGAACAGCGTCGGACTGCGGCCGAGGCCATGGAGAACGCCAAACAACAGCAGCGCCAGCTCGAGAATACGTTTTCGGAGAAGTTCGCTGAGCAGGAGAAGATGTTTCGCAAGATGCTGGAGAACCTGCGAGGCGAGTATGAGGAGAAGCTGGAGAAGGCAAGCGACGAAGAGCGAGAAAAGCTTCTGAAGCAACAGGCTGAGCTCGAAAGGGCGCTGAAAGCAGCCGACAAGGGAGATAGTTCACTGATGTGGAGTGTGGTAAGTTAGATTTCTGATTTTCCTCGTTGCCGGCACAGGGTTCTTACGAGTACATGTACTCGGCACATTCCAAAGGCGGAGAAAGTGATTCGGAACACGGCGGTCACCTACAGCGTCCACGCTCTCGGGGCCCCTCTCGGTCTGCCACCGTTTCTTCTCCAAGGAGTGGTGCATGGCGCCATGTACGCCAACGTCGATCTGTCGGCTGTCATTGCGGCACTCCCCGGGCCTTGTCTGAGTGGGCGCGGCCGCTTGCGGATTTGTCAGACTTGCCTCTGGTCAAGTCGGCATTCTCACGCTTGGGACTCGGCGTGCCGGACTGGCTGCTACCCTTGACCAACCTCACTGGTCTCCTGTCACACTATGGTGCCTTTCTAGGCAACATCACGGAGTGGCAAGCTCCAGATTGGAACCTGTCTGGCCTCGCGTCCAAATACAGAGCAGCGGTCAATCTCTCCGAAATTCGTTGGCCCACGGCCTGGGCCAATGCGTCCCTCCCCGGTGGTAACTGGACTGCGTGGTTTCCGCGGAACGTCAACTTCTCCGATATCTGGAAA